AGAGAAGTTGGCATGTTGATGGCTGGCAGTAGGGGTGGGCCTTGAGAGACCCTGAAGACCCCTTGGCAGGAGCCATCTGCCCCTCTGACCCACGTCAACAGAGGGGTCCTAACTCAGCCAGCAGAGGAGGCCCAGTCTCCCTGGAGCTCCATTTCTTTGGCCCCTTTCAGATCTGTGTCACTGTGATTTATAGCTTCCCCCCTCCCCCCCAGGTGACCAATCTGTGGTGCTTGCCCCTCCCATTTTCAGTATCTGTAGGCCCTACCCGCTCCTCCCTGCTTTATTAAACCAGTGTCAGTGTCCTCAACTACACACATTGTTTATCAACATGCCCACAAATAATCACTGTGGTAAGGTCTTTGGAGACAGAAACAAAGTAAGTGTTTTCTCAAGGATGTGACCCTGGAGGCTTCAGCTCTCACCACATCTAGTTCCTAGAGGAACTCAACCTCACCCTGGGCTTTCTCCAGGCTCCTTCCCTCAGGGTTGAGACCTCTGAAACCACCTGGTTCCCCTCTTTCTTGTCCTGAATCTATCTGGCTGGGCCTCCTGTGCTTGCCACCCCACTAGGTCTTTTGCCTTCCCCATATCCCCTTATATAGGACACTCATGCCCCACATAGCACACCCACAGTTCCCACACCCGCCTCACCAAGGGCCACCTCCCTCCGTACTTGCTTTTCCAGTTGACCCTCTGCTCTTCCCCAAACTCAGCAGGGGACCTCTTCCAGCCATGCCTCTGAAGAGTATCCTTTTTGCCTCGCAACTTCTCTGTAAGATGGAGTAGTGAGAACTGCTTCATTGAGAATGATGTCACAAGGAGGCTGATGAAGGCTAATGAGGCAGAAAGGAAGCATTCAGCAAGAGGGAGGTGATGTGAAACCAGGCATAGTGGCACACACCTGTAAGTGCAGCACTAGGGCACTAGGGAGGCTAAGGTAGGAGGATTGCAAGCTTGATGTGAGTTAAAGTAAGACACCCCCCCCCGCCAAAAAAAAACTGTCTTAAAAAAAGGCTCATCAGATGGGAGAGAACAACAGTGGCCCCCCCCTTTTTTTTTTTGGTACTGGTGATCAAATCCAGGGCCTTGTGCATGCTAAGCAAACACTTAACCACTGAGCTACATCCCCAGCCCCAATAGTGGCACTTATCAGACTCTGTGTGTATGTGAGGACCTCGGTCTCACCAGAGGGATTTGTTTTATTTTCTTTTTTATTTTTTGTGGCTGCACTTTTTTTTTTTTTTCTGGTACTGGGGCTTGAACTCAGGGCCTACACCTCCACCAGCCCCTTTTTTGTGAAGATTTTTTTCTTTTTTTTTTTTTCAGTTTAGATATCATCAGTTTATTATAAAAGGGAGACACATGGAAATTATTTACATGATGAAAGATTTCAGGATGTCAGTGGAATGGGCAGCTTCATGTGATACCATCTCAATGATTTATTTCAGTATAGGTACTTGCCAAGAATGTCACCATCTCTAAATAAGAAATAATCCTTGTCATCTAAAACTACTTTGGTGCCTCTGTATTCTGACAGAAGAACTCTATCTCCAACTTCTACACTAACAGATTGGACCGCTCCATACTTTCCTTTGGAGCCTGATCCCACAGCCACTTCTGTTGCTTACAACACTTTTCCTTGCAATTTTTCTGGAAGTATAATGCCACCTTTGGTTACTGTTTTGGCTACATTCCTTTGTACCAATATTTGATCAAACAGCAGAAGAAACTTTCTAAATGCTTTTCCTGCCATGACTCAGACTCTGCTCTCACTCTGCCACTGAAAGGAGAGACAGTGAAGGTTTTTTTTCAGATTGGGTCTCACGAACTGTTTGCCTCGGCTGGCTTTGAACCTCGATCCTCCTGATCTCTGTTTCCTGAGTAGCTAGAATTACTGGTGTGAGCTACAGGCACCCAGCGTTGCACTAGAATTTGAACTCAGGGCCTCAAGCTTGCTAGGCTTAATGCTTGAGCCACTCCACCTATCCTGTTTTGTGATGGGATTTTTCAAGATAAGGGCTCCCAAACTATTCGCCTGGGGCTGGCTTCAAACCTCTATCCTCCAGATCTCTGCCTTCTGAGTAGCTAGGATTACATTCATGAGCCACTGAGCCCAGCCTTTTCTTTCTTTTTTTGTGGGGTGGGGTTTGAACTCAGAGCTTTACACTTGCAAAGCAAGCACTGGAAATTTTAATCACACCTCCAAGCCCTGTATTTGTTTTCTATTGCTACTGTAACAAATGACCACAAACTCAGTGGCTTAATGTAACATCATTTTCTAAATGGCAATGGGACTTCATAGGTGTGACTAAGGTTACTAATGAGCTGGTGTCCAAAAAATATAAAAACAAAACAAACCTAATAAGCTAGTCTTAAAATAGGAGCTGACACTGGGTTATTTGGGTTGTTCCAAGGTAATCACAAACTTTGTGATTCTGTAGAACTGAAGTAGGGAGTGTTCCAGAGGTTTTGAAGGAAGAAGTGGTCATGTGAGGTGAGCTTTTCAGCTCATGTTCTTAGGTCAGACGCTTAGGCAGGCTCTCTGCTCTGGGTCTCACAAGTCTGCACTTAAGGTGGGCTCTTACGTGGAGGCCCTGGGGAGGAATATACTTCCCAGTTCATTCAGTTTTGTACAAAATTCAGTTTCATGTGGATGTAGGCCTGAGTTCCTTGTTTTCCTCCTAGCTTTTCTCAGATTCCACCATGTTACCTTGTGATTACCTTGGAACTACCCAAATAATTCAGGGTTATCTCCTATTTTAAGACCAGCTGATATCACATCTGCAAAGCCCCTTTTGCCATGCAGTGTTCAGTTAATATGATTATATTTACAGGTTCTAGGGATTTAGACACAAAATTTTGGAGGAGTGTTTTGTTTTTTTTTCCCCAATACAAGGGCTTGAACTTAGAGCTTTCATCTTGAACCACTCCACTAGCCCTTTTTGTGTTAGTTATTTTTGACATAGGGGCTCTCGTGTGCAAACTGTTTGCCTGGGCTGGCTTCAAACTGTGATCCTTCTGGTCTCTGCCTCTTGAGTAGCTAGAATTACAGGCATAAGCCACCAGCGCCCAGTTGGAGTGTTTTTAGTAAAAGGTGAAAAATTTACACAATCTGAAAAGTATGGATGGGCCTTTTTTGAACCTTGTCTCCCTCATGCCAGATTGGCTTGCAGTGTCTCAGAATCCTACAGGGTCAAGCTCAGTGGTGGCCTAGGGAAAGGTAAAGTGCCTGGGGCAGGGCAAGGCAGCTGTTTGTGCCTGTGTGTTATGGCAGTAGGGGCTAAGATGGATACAGATGAGCCCTCACCTTCACAGAACCCATGACAGAAGATATGGAGGGGAGAGGGTGTGAGGTCAGGGAGGGCCCTGGAGATGCTGGTGGCATCTGTGAGATGGTGCTACCAAGGGAACGGAATGGGCCAGCCTGTTAGTGGGCACAGCAAGAGGCTCCTTATGTTGGAGATAAGTGCTGTCCAATAAGTAGGAGCAGACAAGGCAGGATGGATTTTGAGACTCAGGGTCTGAACAGAGACAATGGGGCCAGGCCGTCAGGCCATTAGGCTTGTTTTGTGGGGCTGGGGATGGAACCCAGGGCCTCATACATGCTAGGCAAGCTCTACCATGAACCTACATCCTTAGTATCTAGACTTGGGTTTTGTTTTGGCAGCACTGAGTTTGAACTCAGGGCCTCAAACTTGCTACGCAGGCGCTCTATTATCTTGAGCCAAGCTGCCAGCCCTCTTTTTGTGATGGGTTTTTTGACATAGGGTCTCATGAACTATTTGCTGGGGCCTGGCTTCAAACCTCAGTCCTCCTAATCTCTGCCTCCTGAGCAGCTAGGATTACAGGTGTGAGCTACTGATGTGTGGTTTAGACTTGGATTCTAAGAAGGTTCCCAAGCTGGCAGATACTTTCCTCTCTCCAACATTCAAGCACGTCTACAACACAGCTAACCCAGCTGTGTAACCCAGGGAGGGCGACAGCCATCCTGACCTTGTCTTCCTTCTGAAGGCTGAGGCATCGGCCCCACACTGTACTCCATGCCTACTGTATAAGGCATGTGATGCACTGAGGCCCCCAGGTCTTCTTAACTTAAGGCCTAAGCCCCTCTGCCTCACTCCAACCCCACTGGTACCTGGCTTTGCAAAGTGACCAACGGGCTGCCCTAAGCACACAGCACAAGGCCAGGCAAGCCCATCACTTAGTAGGTCCACCTCATAGGTATCTGGGACAGCCAGTTCCATTTTAGGGCCCTTGCAGACGAAGGCCCTTGTCTCTGCCTGGGCGGCTCTTCCTACACAGCCTGTCTCTGGTGACTTCTGGGTTTTGATTTCAGACTGCTCGCCACCCCACCTCATGCCCCACACTCTCATTTCTGAGTTTCGGCAAGGGTGAGGCATCGGTTTCCACATCCATCCATCCATTCGGTCCTTTCCCGGACCGGGCAAGCCTGGCGGTCTGCATGGGGGCATTGGGCAGAGTGCTTCGCCCGGCGGATGGGGCCAGGGCCCGAGGAGGCGGACCTGGGTCCTGCGGGCTGTGGCACAACCGGCCCGGGCCATCCCTGCATCTCCACTTTTCATGTTGCGGGACAAAGGAGCTCCCCGGCTTGCAATGGGGCTCGAGTTGGTGGGGCAGCTACGGGGCCTCAGCCCAGAGCCGCCTGCCCACTCCCAATTCGCGCGCCCTCTGCATCTGGGCTGCAGGCGCTCAGTACCAGGGGCCTTGGATTGACAGCTCAGGTGCCGCCCCCGCCTTGGTCACCAGGGCGACGCCAGAGTGTGCTCTGGCCTAGAGATTCATGGCGCCTCGGCCATCCCAGCTTTGCAATTTTGGCTCAGTCTCTGACAAGAACCGGAAGTGCGGTCTGGCTGCGGCCGATCTCCATGGAAACGCCGGAAACGTACTTTGCCGTAGCGTTCCGCCTGTACCGTGGCGGCTGCGGCCTTCGGTTCCGCTGACGTTGCGGCCGGAAGTGCGGCCTTCAAGTTGGTGAGCGAGAGGAGGCCACTGCAGGGCCCGGTGCCTGAGGAGGAGTCGGAGGTGGGGTCGGGCGGGCATCCCCCTGCTGCAGGGCGGGTGGGGAAGCCGGGGAGTGCCGGGGGAGGTGGGGCCCGCGCAAGGCCCAGAGCGCCCTCTGCAAACGCGAGAGGGCGCTGCAGGATCAGGGCACCCGCGGGCAAGATTGCAGAGGCGGGAAACCTAGGTTGCGGGGGCTGCAGTGGGTGCAGTTGTAGCGGGTCAGAAAAGGGACTCTGCGCGCAGAGTAGGGCGCGAGCAATGGTGCAGAGTACAGGACGGGATGCTTGGAGGTGCATGACGTGGGCGAAGGCGTGGCAGCGAGTATCTGCACCTGACCCGGGGTCGGGCCTTTGTTCTGAGGCATCCAAGCAGGCCCTGCCGCGTCTGGAGAGGAAGCCCTCCGGAGAGGAGGGCGGGGGATCAGTGGAAAGGAAAGGAGGGGTTCAGGCCCTGCGGGTTGATGCACAGGTTGAACAAGGGTACCTTGGCAAAAGGAGGGCTCGTTGGAGGAATTAACTCATAGCCATTGAGGGCTCTGAGCTGAAGGTCCAGATTTGCTAATTCTCAGCAGGACTCCTCTGGCTGTGGGGAAAGATCCGTAGGTGGGGATGTGGAGGTGACTTTATCCGTGCAGGCCAGCATGACCGGCGCAATGTGAAATGGATTGAAGGGATCAGATGTTGGTCATGAGAGAAAGGGAGGCCCTGGAGGAAAGGGAAGGCAGTTTTTGCTTAAGTTTAAAGGAAGAGAAAAAAAAGAAGAAGAAGAAGAAGAAATCTAAAGATTTGAATCTGAAACCCCAGTAGACCCTGAGGGTATAGGAGCAGGATTAAGTGGGGTCCCACTCTGAGGCTGTTAGCCTGAAGAAAGACAGGCAGGTGGGGAATGGACAGGTCTTAGGGTGTATCCTGTGCTTCAGTTTTTCTCCCTTAGACCACAGGTGTGTGCAGTCTGGGTGTAGAATGAGCCAAGTATAACATCCCTGTTGATAGATGAGGAAACTGAGGCCCAGCAAGCATAGGTCATCAGGTTTCCAGAGTCCCCTGGGGATACTGGTGGGCAGAGCCTAGACGATACTGATACCTAGTTCACCAGAAGCACAGGGATTGTTGAAGCAGGGCTGTGACCTCCTGCTGTTTCACCTCACCCGTGCAGTTTCATGGTCCATAATGCTCCCCAGAGATGCCAAGAAGAGTATGGCCTTCCCATGGACTATGTACTTGCCTCTTTAGGGCACTTTCCAAGTTATCGCCCAACCTTCCAGCCTGTGTCCGGGCGCACCCCAATTGTTCTGTGAGGAGGCAGGTGCATCCCACCCCATGAAGACCTCTGTATTTGCTAGTTAATGTAACCAAGTTCTGGGGCAATCCTGGGTCTGCAAAGGGCCTTAAGTTGTGCTAAGGATGGAAAGTGTGTTGAAGGGAGATCGAAAAAAAGAGAAAAAAAGCCAGTGTGTCTGTGTGGGTGGGGGGAGTTGTCTTGGCTAGCTGAATGGAGATGACACAGGATATTTATTGTTTCCACAATGAGATCTGCTCTGGATGAGGCAGGGTAGCCCATTCTAATGGGAGTCCTGGCCTCTTCTCCAAAGGGCTGTCCATTAGGAGGAGGGCCTATGGTTCACTTAAGGATATTGGAGATGGGGGCTGGGTGAGCCAAGAATGGGGCTAAGGCCTGAACTCTCCTTAGGGAAGAGAGCAGGGCCAGGAGGTATACTGGGGACTGTAGGAGTACAGGACATTGCAAAAGACCTGGAGTGGGGGAATGTGGGGTAGTACGCATGTCCTGTGTGTTGGGAGCAGGGAGCTTCTGGAAAGGGATGGGGTCGGCCAGGCGTGTGAGTGTGGTGCATCTTGGGTCCTGTCCTGTGATAAGGGCAGAGGGGACCAGGATGCTGGGGCAGAGGAGAACTTTTGGCTGACCCGGTCCCCTCATCCCACGCAGATGGCAGCGGCAGAAGCAGTGCACCACATCCATTTGCAGAACTTCTCGCGCTCGCTGCTTGAGACCCTCAATGGCCAGAGGTTGGGCGGGCACTTCTGCGACGTGACTGTGCGCATACGTGAGGCTTCGTTGCGGGCGCACAGATGCGTGCTGGCTGCTGGCTCGCCCTTCTTCCAGGACAAGTTGCTGCTTGGCCACTCCGAGATCCGTGTGCCGCCGGTGGTGCCCGCACAGACGGTGCGCCAGCTGGTAGAGTTCCTCTACAGCGGCTCGCTCGTGGTGGCTCAAGGTGAAGCACTACAAGTGCTCACAGCTGCGTCGGTGCTTCGCATCCAAACAGTCATCGACGAGTGCACACAGATTATCGCGCGCGCGCGCGCCCCAGGTGCCCCGGCGCCCACGCCCTTACCTGCATCGGTGCCCCCACCACTCGCGCCCGCACAGCTGCGCCACCGCCTGCGCCACTTACTGGCTGCGCGTCCCCTGGGGCACCCCGGCGTCGCGCACAGTCGCAAGCAGCGCCAGCCTGCTCGTCTGCAGCTGCCTGCGCCCCCCGCGCCGGCCAAAGCTGAGGGGCCGAATACTGAGCCAGCACTGCCCGCGGCCCCTGGGGACAGAGGTGATGATGACGACGATGAGACGGATGATGAGACTGAGGGAGAGGACGGTGAAGGCGGTGGCCCAGGTGAGGGCCAGGCGCCCTCTTCCTTTCCCGACTGTGCCGCGAGCTTCCTCACCACCCCTGACAGCGCTCAGGAAGACCCCACTGGGCCCACCAGCCTTGCTGACTATGGCGGTGCGGGGAGAGATTTCCTTCGGGGAGCTGCTGTGGCCGAGGACATATTCCCAGACAGCTATATGTCCGCTTGGCACGAGGAGGATGGCACTGCTGCCGAAGGCTGTCCCACCGAGCCCCCTGTCCCGACCGACTGTGCCCTAGTTGGGCCCCGCCCGCCTGGCGTGAAGACCCCTGGGCCACCTGTTGCACTCTTCCCCTTTCACCTGGGCGCCCCTGGGCCCCCAGCGCCAACCCCTCCCACAACATCAGGGCCAGCCCCTGCACCCCCATCGGCCTTCTACCCTGCGCTCCAGCCAGACCCAGTCCCCAGCGCTCAACTTGGAGAAGCCCAGGCCCCCGCTGTGGCTCCTACCATGGTTCCCTCAGGCACTACTGTGCGCGCCACGGGTGCAGAGCAGCCGGCCTATGAGTGTAGCCACTGCCGCAAGACGTTCAGCTCTCGGAAGAACTATACCAAGCACATGTTCATTCACTCGGGTGAGCTGGGACGGGAGGGAGGAAAAGTCTCTACTCCCACACAGATTTCAGCACCCCTTGGTCATCGGAGATTCAAAACATAGCGGGGATTGGGCATTGGTGCTGCTTTGTTGCTCTTGGCAACCCAGGGGCCTGGAAATTGAGCCCCCCAAGTGTGAGGCATAGGGGAAGGCAAGTCCCTCCTTGTAGAACAGCAGGCACTCTTCTCTGATCCCCCTCCTTGCTTTATGAGCTGGGTTAGGGAGCAAGATCCTGCCCTGGGCCTTAGGAAGTTGGTGCAGCCTGGAGTGGGTAGGAGGGATGGAGTCTTGGTGGAGAGTCTCCTGCATCTTTCCAGGATGACCCAGGCTGGAGTCCATGAGGGCCTGAGGACCCCTTAAGGGTTGGGAGGGAGGAGGAAGAGATGGCTGTAGTGTGGGGAAACTCACAGATCTTGAAGGTGGAAGGAGGAACTTCCCTCTGGCCTTGGCCATGTCAGAGAGGTGCCTGAGCAGCTGGGGAGAAGTAAAGAGTGGAAGGGTGGTGTTGGAAAGTGTGGCCTGGTGATGGGCAAGCCACTGGTTGCAGGGTGCTCCCTGGGGGCTGAGTTGGTGCAGGAGTAAGGAAAGCAGAGCCTACCAGCAGGCAGAGCTGGCTATTATCAAAACTGAAAATCTGGCTGAAAAGCCACAGTGCAGGCCTGGAGGCATAGCTCAGTGGTAAAGCATTTGCCTAGCATGTACAAAGTCCTGGGTTTGATCCCTGGCATTACTAAATAAATGTTTCTTTAATAATAATTTTTTAAAAAGCCACAGTGAACATGAAGTGGGAACTCTTAGGCAGGAACTTGGGATTTGACCTAAGTGGTGGGGAAGCAAGTCATCAGTGTTCTTAGCTGGGGAGTGACTGATGTGTCAAATTCAAATCCCTATCTGGCTGCCTTAGGGCCCAGCAAAGGAGGGACCATGAAATAAGGGTTGCTGAGTGGCTTGCAGAAGGCTGCTAGGGGCCCCAAGGTAGTGCTAACTTTGCCAGATGTGTGCAGCCTGAGCCAGGTGTCTGAACCCAGTTGTTCTTAGGAGACCCCCCACCATAGGCACCGTCTCCTGTCTCATACCATTGAATTATGCTTTTTTGTTAACATTTGATGACTACAGGGATCTACACAACTTACCTCCCATTCAATTAATGAGGGGGATATCTTTCTCTGTCTCTTTGGGGACATTATAGTGGTGGGCAACTGAGGCTTCCAGTATTAGGCAAGGCTGTGTCCTGGTTTCTCCTTGTGTAAGGGGGCTGGGCCTTGCCAGACTGAAAAGTGGCTCAGTCTTAAGAGTTCAGACAGCTCTGGAGCATGGGGCAGGGAGGCTGGGCCTGAGTGTCTCCCTGTACCAGTAAAGGTGTGTTATGGAGGAAGGTTCTCAGGTTTGGGGAGATCTGAGTAGGCATTTCAGATAGGCAATGAATGTTCCAGAGGACAGGGTTCATTGCTGGGAAGGTACCTGTTGGATTTAGTGATCCCTGCTAGGCACTCTGGGATGATGGTATGACACTGAGAGAGGGGCTCCCTGAAGAGCAGGATTGCACAGTGAGGTTTCCCTGACAGGCACTGGGGTTGTGAGATGATAGCTGGTTTCAGAAGGGAGAGAAGCCCCTGCCAGGGAGAGGGCTGGTCTGACAACACTTGCGGCCCACCCTGTCGTCCGCAGGGGAGAAGCCGCACCAGTGTGCAGTTTGCTGGCGATCCTTCTCATTGCGCGACTACCTGCTCAAGCATATGGTCACGCACACCGGTGTGCGCGCCTTCCAGTGTGCGGTTTGCGCCAAGCGTTTCACTCAGAAGAGCTCTCTCAACGTGCACATGCGCACGCACCGGCCGGAGCGTGCGCCCTGTCCTGCCTGCGGCAAGGTCTTCTCACACCGCACGCTGCTGGAGCGTCACCTGGCTGCACACCCTACCCCCTGATGGGGATGTTCAAGGTGGGAATCCACCATCTGGCGAAGTAGGTCGCACCAGCTGTGGCGCCTTGATCACATTACTTCCATCACACTGCATTGATCGCTTCTGAGTGCAGACCTTACCCTTTACCCACTCCTACTCCCTTCTGGTGGACCTGGAGCCCAGCCTACCTTATTCCCTCCTGCCCTTGCTCATTCCTGCATGTACCTGGACTTTCCAGCTGAGGCAGGGAATGGTCAAGGACCCTATCACCTCTGAGAACTGGACCATTTCCAGACGGCATTGGGCGCCCAGACTGTCGGAGCCAGCCGGGGATTAGGGTTCCCAACGCCGGTTTGCGCCCTGCCCACTCCAGAGGTGTGGTGGAGTTAAGCTGTCCTCTGCCCTAGTTTTAGGCTGGCCAAGGTCTCTTGCCCTCCCACCTGGAGATACCCCTCCCTGAGCTAAGGCTCAGTTGAACATAAACCCATCATGGAATGGGTCAGACTTTGAGATTCCACTGTAATAAAGGATGTTGGGCCAGTGTGTGCTTCTCCCATAGACTCACTGGGTGTGGCATTGGGCTGAGGCATCATCCCTTGCTGGCCCTTGGTTTCTCCTGGGCAGGCATGGGACAGTCTGCTTTGCCATTCTGAAATTCTGTTGTGGGGTGGGCTGCATATCTTGCTGATGCCCAGTTCTCTTGGAGCCATTGGTCTTGTGGGGAGGGGGACCGCAACCCTCACACTACTGGCCACTGAGGTCACTAGGCAGATTTTGACCCTGGATTCCCACCAGTCTAGATTTTAGACTTCCCCTCCCCCATTCTGATGGGCATGATGGTTGAACACTTTACTTTTGAGAAGCCCAGAGTGCGTCTTTGGGGCCAGGCTGTCATTAGGGAATATAAGCTCCAGGATACCTGCCCTGCACAGGAGCATGGATTAGGCAGCTATGTCTTGTGTGTGTGTCGGGGGATGGCGGGGTTGGTTAGAAAGCACCAATGGCCCAGACTGAAGGCTTCCCTGATGGGTGGCTGAAGAAGGCGACTAGAGGTGAGCTGATGTCACAGAACTCTATATCAGATTTGCTGTTGGCCTAGAGAGCCATGCTTCAGCTCTACTGGCTAGGCTTCTGGGTCCATGGGGCTTCTCTGTCACTGCCTCTTGAACCCAAAAGTCAATCCACATGGAGGCCAAAGGTGAGGCAGAGTCCCAATGTAGGTCCATGGTGGACAGAAGTGAGTTTGAATCCAGTTGATAAAGGTGTTCCTTCAAGTATTTTCTCTTCTTTTTTTGCTATACTGAGGCTTGAACTCAGGGCCTTCACCTTGAGCCACTCCATCAGCATAATTTTTTGTGATAGGGGTTTTCAGGATAGGGTCTTTCAAACTCGAACACTTTGCCTGGGATGGCCTCAAACTGCAATCCTCCTGATCTCTGCCTCTTGAATAGCTAGGATTACAGGCATGAGCCACCACTTCCCTGCTAGGCTTGAGGTGTGAGCCACCTGCGCCTAGCTCCTTCGAGTATTTTCTGAGCAGTCACTGTGTACTTTGCAGGAGGCTAGGATACCTTAGGGACAAAGGATGGGTGCCACCGAAGGATCTCCCAGCCAAGCAGTCTGGAACACAACCATGGTCACTCAAAAATTTCTGCTTGTTTTCATAGTGCCTGGTACTCATTGGGCTCAGGAGGGAAGGAGGTAGGTGCCAGCCCTAGAAGGGAGACTGGGCAAGCAGGATGGCAGGTGGTGGTGTCCAAGGGAGGAGGCCCAGAGGTGGGCAAATCTAGTAGCAAAGCAATGGGGAGGACAGAGTCCAGGAATCAGGAGTGCCTGGGACATTGGGGGATGGGGTGTACAGGTTGCCCCAAGGGGCAGAAAGTCAAGGCCTGGTAGCTCTGGGACAAAAGTGAAACTGCACATTCTGAGCCACTTCTCTGAGGAGAGAGCTGGTGCCATGGGTGTTGGACAGCGGCTGGCCTTTCTGTTGCTGTTGTTGCTACTGCTGAGGGGCCTGGGGCAGCCTGCATGGCCAGCTACTGTGGCCCTGGCCCTGCGCTGGCTACTGGGAGACCGAACATGCATTGTGCTGCTTGGCCTAGCAGTGCTGTTCCATTCCTGGATCAGTCCCTGGATGCCCCACTGGGTAAGCCTGGCAGCTGCAGCCTTCACACTGACCCTGTTACCTCCAAGGCTGCCCCCAGGGCTACGCTGGCTGCCTGCAGACATGAGCTTCTTGGTCAAGATCTTCCTCCTGGGCTGGAACATCAGGGGACGCTTGAGCCATCAGCCTCCTGACACCTTTGTGGATGCCTTTGAGCGGCAAGCGCTAGCACAGCCTGGCAAGGTGTCCATTGTATGGACAGGGCCTGGGGCCTGCTCTGTCACCTTTGGTGAGCTGGATGCTCGGGCCTGCCAGGCTGCCTGGGCCCTGAAGGCTGAGCTAGGTGGCCCTGACAGCCTGCGTGCCACAGAGCCTGCTGCCCTCTTGATGCTGCCTTCCCAATCGATTCCTGCTCTGAGTTTGTGGCTGGGACTGGCCAAGTTAGGCTGTCCTGTGGCCTGGATTAATCCAAATAGCCGGGGGAAACCCCTTGTGCACTCTGTGCTGACTTCTGGGGCCCAGGTGCTGGTGGTGGACCCAGGTGAGAGCCCCAGCGTCAGTGGGGAAGAAAAGGGAATGAGGCAAACAATAAACCTAACCTAGGTCAGAGTCCTGGTGGGGACTGGGCAGAGAATTCTTTGTTCCCATACACCTATTTCACAGGCAATTAGTGTCAAAACTTAGCCTAAGTGGAATGTAATTCCACTTAATTTCTGGGGTCACCAGAATTTTTTTTTTCCACAAAGGGGTTATTTCAATTCTAGTTAACCAAAAATTTTACTAGTTATGGGATTCTGTTTTTTTTTAAAGTTGTACTGAGGGTTGAACTCATAGTAACGAAATTCTTTATCCAAGAATGAGGAAGTGTTTCTCTACTAGCTGCTCCTTTGTCTTTGGGTCTGGAGTCCATCCTCTTGACCTTGCAGGTAAGCTTTGTCTCAGTTTCTCCTCTGATGGCTCCTCTAGACCTCAGAGAGAACCTGGAGGAGGTCCTTCCCGAACTGCAGGCCCAGAATATTCGCTGCATCTATCTCAGCCATACTTCCCCCACACCTGGTGTCAGAGCTCTTGGGGCTGCCCTGGATGCTGCACCCTCTGACCCAGTGCCTGCCCACCTACGTACTGAGATCACGAGGCGAAGCCCTGCCCTGTTCATCTACACCTCAGGAACCACTGGTGAGAGTGCCAGAAACCCTGCCCCAGCCTCCATGCTCTTGTCCTGACTTGACCATCCTTCCCAGTGTCAGAAACTTGTCCTCTGATGCACGCTCTGCCACCTGATCTGGACCTCTGGCCTTGACTCTGATCCCCACTGTGATTTAGGCAGTCAGTGCTAGAATGTTGCCTCTGCCTAGTAAACAGCACTGAAATCCTTGCTGATCTTTGGTCTTGATCTATTTACTCACAATTGGAATTCAGCCTCAGAACCCAGTTGCAAGTTTCCATATTTGACCCTTTCTGAGAACTTCAAACCCGGTCAGGCCTGACTGTGGAGCCCCACCCCCACTGTGCTGGTCTCTTCCTTTCCCACTCTTTCTTCTCCCAGGGCTCCCAAAGCCAGCCATCCTCACTCATGAGCGGGTAGTGCAGATGAGCAAGATGTTCTTCTTATGTGGGGGCACTGCTGATGATGTGGCCTACAGTGTCTTGCCTCTGTACCATGTGATGGGGCTTGTCGTTGGGGTGCTCAGCTGCTTAGAGCTTGGTAAGTCTTTCTCTGGATCCTTCCAATCCATAGGATCACTACAGTGGGTGTCAGAATAGGGCAGTCAAGATCACAGGACCTCATAGGTTACCCAGTACCCTGAGTTCTTACTTTTGGTAAAGAACACATAGCAGTAAGCCCCAGGACCACCTTGATAGAGGCTGAGACACAGTCCCTAATGGCTAATATGAGAGATAGGCACGGGCATCGAAGGGAGCAGGTGGTAATGAGGATGCTGGGTCAGACCTAGGGCCTGGCTCCAGAAAAGCCAGTGAGGGAATGCATATCAAGCACTTTTTTAAAATTTTAAAATATGGAATGCTTCACGAATTTGCGTGTCATCCTTGCACAGGGGTTGTGCTAATCTTTTCCTGTATCGTTCCAATTTTAGTATAAGTGCTGCCAAAGCAAGCACTTAATCAAACACTTACCAGGCTGTACCCTGAACACCTGACTCAGAATTTGGACTTATCTCTCCACTGTTTGCTCTTGTTTTCACGTTTCTATTATGAATAGCTTGAAACACAAACATTCTCAAATCTTTCCGTATGAAGCCTTACCAACCATTTTACTGTATTTGTTTCATTTGTCACCCTTTACCATTCCTGCTTGTCTTTTTAGTCTTCATAGTTTTTTCCTAGGGTTGTTTTTTTGAATCAAGGTCTTGCTATGTAGCCCATGCTGGCCTACAATTCACAATCCTTCTGCCTTAGTCTCCTAAGTGCTGGGATTATAGGTATACATCAACATGCCTGGCTAAAACTCCCCCCACCAAGCTAAAATATTTTATCATGGAATTTTTTTTTGAGATAGAGGTCTTACTGTGTTGCCCAGGCTGGTCTTGAGCTCCTGGAGTCAAGTGATCTCCTGCCTCAGTCCCCCAAATAGCCAGGGTTACAGATACGCACCACTATTCCCAGCTTATCATGGAAAATTTCAGACATAACCAGGAGTGCAAATAGTTTGAGGATGTCTTATACATTCTCACCCAGCAATTGTTAACATATTGCCAGTGTTATGTACTACTCACTTTCTGGGTTATTTTAAGAGTAAATCCTAGACGCCTTTTATAGTAAATCTTTCATACTGCTTAAAAATACTGCTATAGTATCACTAACATATAAGGATTTTAAAAACTATAACTACAGTGATGACCATATTTGATAAAATTAACAGGAACCCTTTAATATCATTTGATGCTCAATCCATGTTCAAATTTCCTTAATTGTGTAATTGCCTTTTCACAGTTAAAGTTTCTACATTACATTTACCACTTAGCTTTCTGCTCCTCTTTCCCTCTGCATTTCCTGTTAGATTGGAAATGCCTTCTAGAGGCTTTTTAGGTTCAGTTTCTTATTTTATTATTATTATTTGCAGTGCTGGGGATCAGACCCAGGGCCTCATGCATACTAGGCAAGCACTGTACCACTGAGATGCACTTCCAGCCCTGATTTTTAAAAAAATTATCAGATTGTTGTGCTGGGGGTACACTGTGACATTTACCAAAGTGCTTACAATATATCTTAGTTAAACTCACCCCCTCTATCATTCTCCTTTATCTCCCATCCCCCTCACCTGATTTCTTTTATTCTAGGCAAGAATCTGGTAGGGGTGTTTTGTGATTCCTAATTTGTCACACTAGAAGCAGCTCCTGCCTGTTAACCTGGCTTAGAGAAGTTAGAATAGATTGGGAAATCTCCCCATCTACCTGCCCTGTGTTGTTTACCAGCTCTTGGAGATCTTTAGTGATTCAGATATTTATTTAGGGGTTGGAAACAAAGCCATCACTTTCAAGCACCTGGATTCATTTTCATGGAGGGTACTATATGTTACCTCCTCACCAAAAACATTGTCTCAAAGAAGATACATACTTGTTACCTTGCTAAGCACATGGGCAGTTTGCTCTTTAGGTGCAAGGATGATAAGCCAGATGCAGAGAAGGATATTAGGAGGGAGGATCACCTTTCTAGAATGAATACAGTGGCCCCTAAAGCTTATTAATCCATCTATCCATCATCCTTCCATCCAACCTCCTCATCAATCTACCTCTATTCACCCATCAGTCCTTTTCATTCATCCTTACATATCCATTTATCTCTCCAATCACGCATGTATTCATGTACCCACTCATCCATCCACCCACCCACCCATCCATCCATCCATTCATCCATTCATCCATACCCTCCAATCTGTCTATACATCAACCCACTTTTCCACCCACCCACCACATCCATCCTCTGCCTCACTGGGCATTCATTTATCAGATTCAGGAATAGTTAATTCCCAGTCCTTACTTCACAGTGCTCATTTTGTACCAGGCATTGAACTTTGTACACACTCTAGAAACAGGATTTGGACCCAGACACCCCTGTAATCTTTTCATGGTGGCAGTCCTGCCTGGGCCAGGGACACAAAGATTAGTTTGGCATTGCCCTGAGTTCTAAGGGCCACAATCAGGTAATCAAGCAGTTTCTCACAGCAACCTGAAGCATGACCATTCCTCCTCTCCCTCCAAGGAGCCACCTGTGTCCTGGCCCCCAAATTCTCTGCCTCCCGCTTCTGGGATGATTGTCGGCAGCATGGAGTGACAGCAGTCTACTATGTGGGCGAGGTCCTGCGGTACCTATGCAATGTTCCTCAGGTAAAGCTCTAAGATTAGTGCTCTATAATGAGCACCCCAGGCAGGAAATCCCAGATGATATTCCAGGTAAAGTTCTCAGATAAAGATGGATGTGTGTTCACCGAAGCTACTCAAGAGGCAGAGATCAGGAGGATCGTGGTTCGAAGCCAACCCAGGCAAATAGTTTGCAAGACCCTATCAGAAAAAAAAGGCCTGATGGAGTGACTCAAGGTGTAGGCCCTGACTTTAAGCCCCAGTACCACACATACACACACACAAAACTAAACAAACAAAAAGATGGAGGTATGTGGCCCAGTGGTAGAGTGCAGATTTAGCACGTTTGAGCCATAGGCTCAATCCCAGCACCAAAAGGTAAAAACAAAACAAACCATTCAGGTATGCTATTCAAGTAAGGTTCCCTTGGGTAAAACACCCTGGGCAAGATCCCCAGATGATAAATCACACACAAGGTTTCCTACAGGGCTCCTTTGATGAGTAGCTGTGCTACTGTGGGCAGGTGACTTTACCTTTCTCAATCTCACTGTCCTCATCTGGAAAACAGAGATAAGAATAGCCCCTACCTGAAGAGAGTATTTGAAAAGTAAATGAATTAAATATATGTAAAGTGCCTAGAACAGGGTGTGGCTCAGGGTAAACTCACTAGATGTGAGCCACTTTCATTCTTAAAGAGCAATGAAGTATATGGTCCCCAGTATCCCTCCAGATAAAGCTTCAAGGTAACCCCTCAAGTAACTTCCTCCAGGTAGAGCCCTCTGGTAGCCTCTCAATATGAGGCTTCAAGTCTTCTCAGGTTACCTCAAGGTGAAAGCCCCCAAGTAACCCAGAAAGACAAGGTCTCCAGGTAATCCACCAGGTGAAAGTTCCCAGTAACAACCCAGGTCAGATCCCCAGATGGATCTCCAGTCACTCCTAGGTAACTAATAACTAGAAAGTAAGATCCCCAGGTAACTTTTCCCCAGGCAAAACTCCCAGGTAACCTCTGCAGGTAACCCTCCAGGCAAAGACTCTAGTAACTACTTTCCATTTAATTTTTTTTAGTGGTAGTAGGATTTGAACTCAGGGCCTCATGCTTGCTAGACAGGTGCACTACCACTTGAGCCACTTTGCCAGGCCTTTTTTATGTTGGTGTTTTTGAGATAGGGTGTTTGCCTGGGCTGGCTTCGGACCACAGTCCTCCTCATTTCTGTCTCCCAAGTAGTTAGGATTAGAGGTGTGAGCAACCAGTGCCTGGTAAAGTGACTTTTTTTTTTTTAATGGTGGTGGTACTGGGGTTTGAACTCAGGACTTCACCCTTGCTAGGCAGGTACTCTAACACCTTTGAAACATGACTCCAGCCCCATAACAACTCTTAAATAAGAGCCCTAGGTAGATTAGGTAGGCACAGGTCCCCACCTCACTGCCTAGGTGTAACTCCCAAGGTAAGAACCCAAGATAGCCAACCCCCAAGGGCGACTCCTCCTCACCTTTCTTTGGATGTTCCTGCAGCGACCAGAAGACAAGACACATACAGTTCGAATGGCAATGGGCAATGGGCTCAGAGAAGAGGTGTGGGAAGCATTCCAGCAGCGCTTTGGTCCCATTCGGATCTGGGAATTCTACGGCTCCACAGAGGGCAACATGGGCTTAGTCAACTATACCGGACGCTGTGGGGCTGTGGGCAGGACAAACTGCCTCCTTCGAGTGAGTGGGTGGGGTGCCCAGTGTGACAGTGGCTCTGGTTGAGGCTGAACCCACAGGACCACTACCAATACTGTCCACCCTCCACCCCAGCTGCTGTTTCCCTTCGAGCTTGTACAGTTTGAGACAGAGACAGCAGAGCCTCTGAAAGACGAACAGGGCTTCTGCATCCCTGTGAAGCCAGGTATGGGGGTTAGGGAACCTTCTCTGGATGTACAAGGTGGGGTGGACAACCTCAGTATCCTCGACTGGAATAAAGTGCCAAAAAGTCTTGAGAATGGTGCAGTGGGGGAGTCTGCAGGCCTCATCTGGACTTTAGCCTGTCTGGCCACTACCTGGGGCCCTCTGCCTCAACTTCTTGGCTCTGCTCAGCACCCTGCTTGTCTCTTGCTCTGGTCCATTGGATTTCTGGGCATCCATCTGAGGTGTTCTCTCCAGCTGTCTGTGAAGGTCACATCCTCCTGGACATCAGTCCCTTGCCCTGTACCTTCTCCTAGTGTCTTTTCTCCTGGGGCCTTGCAAGGCCCTGGCCATATTGTTCTTCCCGCCATCATTTTCTCTCTGTTCCTTGTTACTGTTGTCCAGTTATTCACAGGCTCCCTGATGCCACCTCCTTTCTCCTCCATCTCTGATTTTCTGTATTTCCCTGTCCCTGACTTTGTCTCTCTCAGACCCAATGTTTCTGTGTCTCTGTGTGTCTCCCATCTATGGATCTCTCTGTTTTTCTTTCTGGCTGGGTGTCGTTGGAAATGATGGGTTGGTTCTTGTTCACCGCCTGTACTCCACTCCTACTTCTAGGGGAGCCAGGTCTCCTGTTGACCCAGGTACTCGGCCACCATCCCTTCATGGGGTACCGTGGTCCCCGAGAGCAGACAGAACAGAAACTGGTGCGGGACGTGAGACGCTCAGGCGACGTTTACTTCAACACCGGGGACGTACTGGCCCTAGACCACGAAGGCTTCTTCTACTTCCGTGACCGCCTAGGGGACACTTTCCGGTCTGGGGCGGGGCTGCAGGATGGGTCCGGAGGCGGGGTTTCTGGGGCGTCCTGTTCTGGGGGTGGGACCTCCCTTCCCAGGGGCATGGCCCCGAGCTCTGGCTTCCACCCTGCAGGTGGAAAGGTGAGAACGTGTCCACGCGGGAGGTGGAGGGCGTGTTGTCGCTCCTGGACTTCCTGCAGGAAGTGAATGTCTATGGCGTGTCTGTTCCAGGTGTGGAGGGTTTGCTTGATTTTAAAACCTTCAACAGTTTTGTGGGTGGAGGGGTGTTATTCCAATTTTATAGATAGGGAAACTACAGGGGCACTGAGGAGTGACCAATGTGCTTCCCAGGGTGTGAGGGTAAGGTGGGCATGGCTGCCGTGCAGTTGGTCCCCGGTCAGACTTTTGATGGCCAGAAGCTATACCAGCATGTCCGTACCTGGCTCCCTGCCTATGCTGTCCCCCGCTTCGTCCGTATCCAGGTAAGTCAGGGTGGCAAGAATAGATGGGTGGGTGGGGTCATGGTAGGGAAGTGTCACAGTCAAGGGGGTCACAATCATTGCCCTGCAGGACACCCTGGAAATCACGAACACATTCAAACTGATGAAGTCCCGCCTGGTTCGTGAGGGCTTTGATGTAGGGATCATCAATGACCCCCTGTACATCCTCGACAACCAAGCCCAGGCCTTCCAGCGGCTGACAGCAGACACGTACCAGGCTGTGTGTGAGGGAGCTTGGAAGCTCTGATCACCTGGCCAGCACACAGGACACCTGAAGGTGGGACTACCAATCCTGACACCTCACCCACTTCCCCATTTCCACCCCATACCTGCGCAAAGTTGTCATGATCCCAGAGGCACAGGCTTGGTAGCAATCGAGAATAAACTCATTATGTGTGCACAGAAGTCTGCGTGGATGTGATCCAGTGCTGCCCAGGATCCTACTGCAGGGTCTCCTGCCAGGGACCTCATTTTAGGGGATGGTCATAATGGGCAAGGAGAAAGGTGTGAATGGGCCATCTTTCAAAGGCTGGAATTGGTAGAGGAACATCCCTGGTAGAGTGATAAAGGGACTGTAATAAGTTTTTTTGCTCTGCTTTCCCCCACCCCCATTTCGGTACTGGGGTTTGAATTCAGACCTTTACACTTGCTAGACAGGTACTCTACCACGTGAGCCATTCTTCCAGCCCCCTCCCCCCTTTTTTTTGCAACAGAATCTTGCGATGTAGCCCACGCTGGCCTCAAACTCGAGATCCTCCTTCAGCCTCCCCGGTGCTGGGATTACAATTGTGCAACACCTCACTTGCTCTAGGATTAAACAACAAAAAAAAAACTGACAGGGTTTCACCATGGAGCCCAGGCTTGCCTCAAACTCGCTATTGTAACTGAAGCTGGCCTCAAACTCGGGATCCTTCTGCCCTAGCCTTCTGAATGCTGGGGTTACAGGCTTGTGCCATCACACTGGGCTCCGGGGTAAATTTTGTAGGCGGGAAGCAGCAGGTGTAGAAGCCTCAGGAAATGGAATATCATTAAGGTCTCAAGAAGGTGGAAGTGCTTCTTGGGGCGTGGTGCTCACGCCCAGGTGCTCATTCTAGGGGTAGAATCTTGCGGCCTTCTCGGAGAAATACAGTCTTCGCGTTCAGGAGTAACAAACACCAAAAAAACTGCGCGGGCACAGAGCCTCTAGGAATGCAAGGTCTAAGGCGCTCCTCCAGAACTAAAGACTTGGCGATCGCCGCCTAGGCCTCTGGGGGCGTGGCCTTTAGGCGCTCTGAGCGGGAGTTTGCAGAAGCAGTTGGTGATGGTGTTCCCAACAGTGACACCTGCATCAACCTGTCCCGGAGAGTGATGCAGGCCACGCTCTGCGGTGCCACGGTGTCGTAGCCCACCTGTGATCCATATGAAGACTGACCTGGTCTTCGAAGGAGACAGTGTGTCTCACAGGCCCACAGGGACAGGTGAGGGATCAATATGGGAACCTCGACCTCAGTAAAAATCGAAGCGCTGCCTGTCAGCTCAGCAGATTGGGGCTGGGACGGTGTCCCTCGAATTCTCTGAGGGTTTTGGGGGTTTTTTGGTTTTGTTTCGTTTTGGGTTTTGCGCTTGTAAGGCAGATAGATGCTCTACCACTTGAGCCATACCCCCAGTCCATTTTGCTCTGGTTATTTTAGAGATTGGCGGGGTGGGGGGGAGGCGGGTCTCGCAAACTGCGAACTATTTGCTCGGGCTGACTTCGAGCCGCCATCCTTCAGATCTCAGTCTCCCAAGTAGCTACAATTATAGATGTGAGCCACCGATGCCCAGCTGGCTTCTCTGGTCTTTTGAGTCATGGTATTGCTCTGAGACTCTATTCGTCGTGGGCAGCAGCTGCGCATTGATTGTCTTCCAGGAGGTGATCATTACCATTTGTTATTTCTCTGCCCTGCGCTGCTGACGGAGCTCTGTGTGACCCCCGCAGAACCAAAACCCCTTTGCATAACTGGAGTTAGATCAGGGCCCACTGAGATCCAGCCCTCCTCCCCTGCCCATATATATATATATTTGCGGTGCTGGAGTTTGAACTCAGGGCCTACATATTGAGCCACTATACTCTGGAATTAATAGGTATAGGAGGCAAGAACTTTCTCAATGGAACCCCAGCAGCACAGCAACTAAGAGATAGCATAGATAAATGGGACTTCATAAAACTTTTAAAAAGCTTCTGCTCAACAAAAGAAATGGTCTCTAAACTGAAGAGAACACCCACAGAGTGGGAGAAAATATTTGCCAGCTACACATCAAAGGACTGATAACCAGAATATATAGGGAACTTAAAAAACTAAATTCTCCCAAAATTAATGAGCCAATAAAGAAATGGGCAAGTGAACTAAACAGAACTTTCTCAAAAGAAGAAATTCAAATGGCCAAAAAACACATGAAAAAATGCTCACCATGTCTGGCATTAAAGGAAATGCAAATTAAAACCACACTAAGATTCCACCTCACCCCTGTTAGAATAGCCATCATTAGCAACACCACTAACAACAGGTGTTGGTGAGGATTTGGGGAAAAAGGAACCCTCTTACACTGCTGGTGGGGATGCAAACTAGTACAACCACTCGGAAAAAAATTTTGGAGGATACTTAAAAATCTAAACATTGATCTACCACATGATCCAGCAATACCACTCTTGGAGATATACCCAAAAGACTGTGACACAGGTTACTCCAGAGGCACCTGCACACCCATGTTTATTGCAGCACTATTCACAATACCCAAGATATGGAGCCAAGATGCCCCACTACTGATGAATGGATTAAGAAAATGTGGCATTTATACACAATGGAATTTTATGCAGCCATGAAGAACAAAATGTTATTATTCGCTGGTAAATGGATGGAATTGGAGAACATCATTCTGAGTGAGGTTAGCCTGGCCCAAAAGACCAAAAATCGTTATGTTCTCCCTCATATGCAGACATTAGATCAAGGGCAAACACATCAAGGGGATTGGACTTCGATCACATGATAAAGGGAGAGTACACAAGGCAGGTATGAGGATAGGTAAGACAACCTAAAAAACTAGATAGCATTTGTTGCCCTTAACGCAGAGAAACTAAAGCAGATACTTTAAAGCAACTGAGGCCAATAGAAGGGCACCAGGAACTAGAGAAAAGGTTAGTTCGAGAAGAATTAACTTAGAAGGTAACACACATGCCCAGGAAATCAATTCGAGTCAACTCCCTATATAGCTATCCTTATCTCAACTAGCAAAAGCCCTTGGTCCTTCCTATTATTGCTTATACTCTCTCTTCAGCAAAATTAGACAAGGGCAAAATAGTTTCTGCCGGGTAGCAAGGAGGTAGAGGGGGAGAGGGAGGGGGCGGTGGGGGTAAGGGAGGGAGTGGGGGAAGGGGGGAGAAATGACCCAAACATTGTATGCACATATGAATAAAATAAAAATTAAAAAAAAAGCAAGGTGGCTCAAACCTGTAATCCTAGCTAGCTATTTGGAAGGTAAAGATCAGGAGATCAAGTCCAGCTCAGGCAAAAAGGTCTCAAGACCATATCACAACCAATGGCTGTGCACAGCAGCACATGCCTGTCATCCCCAGCTATGCTGGGAAGTACAAATAGGAGGATCAAGGTCCAGGCCAGCTGAAATTTCTGTAAGTGAACACTTAGGGTTGTCTTTTTTTCTCATGATAAAAACACCTGCAGTGTACACAGATCTTTGTCCCTTTGCTCTGATTCTTTTGATGTTTTAGATGTTAATGTAGCACAGAATATTGATCCTTAATTTTAGCTGTTACAACACACCCACAGATGCTTCCAGAGTCAGATCCAGATCCAAGTAAAATTCTAGCTCTCCAAGTCATTGGATCAGCTCTGGCACAGAGGTATCTAGGACTCAGTTTGGCTTAATCACCGGCAATGGCCAAAGAAGGTAAAGGGGTCTGGGAAGACTCAGGTGGGCTGGAGAAAGGACTGTTGGGCTTCATGAGGGTTAGATGAGATTACAAGGGAACTCTTGTTATTTGAGCATCTGGGATGGTGTAGGAAGACACCTTTCTGCCCATCTCAGCTCAGGACATGGAAGTGGGTAGGTACCATGGCAGGGATATCCTGACCTATTTTTAATTTTTTTGGCATTACTGAGGTTTGAACTCAGGGCTTTGCCCTTGCTTGGCAGGTGCTCTACCACTTGAGCCATGCCTCTAGCCACTGACCTGACTTAATTTTAATGTTAAGAGGTAAACATTGGAATCCGCCCTAAGGGCTGATGGTGCTACTGATCTGTCTGGGGTCAATGTAATGGGCAATCAGGAAAGCAATGGAAGACCTGAATGAATCTAACTGCATAAAAATTCAAACCAATAAAATGACCATGTGCACAAGTAAGTGACAAACAGGGGGACATACATTCTTCTGTTCATGGAAAAGGGAGCACACATGAGCAACTAGGAAGGACTCAGACTGACCAAACATTTTAATTATGTTCTGCTTATGGAACTGAAAAGGGAAGTAAAGAATGAGAGTACAGAGAGCTAGAAACCCTCTGGATGCCAGATCAACCCAGTCTTCTGGACAACACTCTGATGTGCCCATCAAGAATAAAAAAATACCACTGGGCACCAGTGGCTCACACCTGTAATCCTAGCTACTAAGGAGGCAGAGATGAGGAGGATTGCAGTACGAAGCCAGCTCTGGGAAAACAGTTCTTGAGACCATCTTAAAAAAAATCACAAAAAAGGGTTGGTGTTGTGGCTCCAGATGTAGGCTTTGAATTCAAACCCCAGTACTGCAAAATAAATAAATAAATAAATAAATAAATAAATAAATAAATACCAAGGTGGATCAGGTGGTACACACTGTAATCCCAGCACTTGGGAGGTAGAAGTAGGACAATCGTGAATTCAAAGTCAGCCTGGACTACATAATGAGACCCAGTCTCAAAACAACAACTAAAAATCCCACCATCTGACTTTGAGATGGGGAGATTACTCTGCCTATCCAAGTGGGCCCAAGCCACCACAAGTCCTTGTAAGTGGAAGAATGTCAGTGATGCAATGTGAGATAATCTTGACTGGTCACTGCTAGACAGGAAGAAAGGAGCCATGAGTCAAGGAATTCAGGTGGCCTATGGGAGGAAACTGCAGCCCTGCTGAAACCTTAATTTAGTCCAGTGAGACATGTTTCAGAGTTCTGACCTTTGGAGCAGTAAGGTAGGAGAATAAGCCTGTTGTTTCAAGTCACCTAGTTTGTTGCAGCAGTTATTAGGAAACTAATACAGTGCATCAAAATGTCCTGGGGCACCCTCTCTTGGTACCCTCTCCCCAACTCTGGGGGCTCTACTTTCCCACTTTACACTTCTATCTCAAATAAACTCTGCTGCTTTACACTTTTTTTAAAAAGTTCTGAGTGACTGCCCAAAGGACCACAGAGCTCTCTGGGCAGCAGGAACTGATCCTTTGCCCTACCACTGTGTGACGAATGTTCATATGAGATGCAGCCCTGACCTGGAGGTTTACATAGCCTGAGGCACCCATTTGTTGCCTGTTTTCTCAGAGGTCACCCTTGTCCACCTATGCTAGGAAAGGAAATGCCCTACTGTCCACCTAAGCCCAGGTTCAAAAACTCAAAGGCCAGTGTGATGGTGAGTGACATGGGTGGTCAAGAAATAAGGTACTCTGGGGATAGAACTCTGGTGATAGTAATGCTGGCCCTTCTGGGCTCAGCTGCCTTGACTCCAGTAGCCAGGTAGGAAGAACACATTGCTGATTTTCTGACCAGCAGATGCTAGAAATCAGGATTCTTAGTCAGGAACTCCATTATAAAAGTATAATTTATGTTAAAAATCTAGCATGTGGGAGTCCAAGCATCACATACAGCAGGATAGAAGTCAGCTATGCTTTCCTGGACTTCCAGTGCCTTCCAGAGACTTCTGGTCCAAGAAGGGGAAGGCAGTTTTGGGGCATCCACCCTTGATCTCAGACAATGTGGGCTTGCATCATTGCAAGGTGGGGAGCCTGGGATTTGGTCATCACCCCAAAGTCAGTAGATTCCAACCCAGGCTTGGCTCCAGCAGGCAGGGGCAGATCTTGGGATCTCTGGTTCACTCTGGGCCCCTGCTGCCTCCAGAGCCTCCAGGTGGCTGGAGCCAAGGCTGGGACGCTGCTGCATTCAGGCCCTGAGGCCCCCAGGGTAGCTGCCCTCTCCAGCCACTCACAGAGCTTCAGACCGGTGGCTCTTTCTATGGATCACCAGTTGGGACTTCCAGTCGAAGCTGCGGCCACAGTCAACACAGAAGTGGCGCCACTGGCCTGCATGGCTCTTGCGGTGGATGACCAGCTGTGACTTCCAGCTAAAGCTGCGCCCACACTCCTCACATGTATAGCTCCGCCTGGGTGGGTGCCACACAGCTGGCTCCCAGGGTGCCTTTGGTGGTTTCTCTGGGCCTGGCCCACCCATGTGTGTGCGGTGGTGAATGACAAATACTGACTTCCAGTCGAAGCTGCGGCCACACTGCTCACATGTGTAGGGTTTTCGAGGTGTGGGCTTGGAGGGGGGTGTGGCAGGCAGGCCTGGAGCTGGGCCCTCCCAGGTACTAGGTTGCTCCTTGCTAGGGCTCTGGCTCTCACCTGGAGGGAATGTGCTGGCTTGGCCAAGCCCTGGCCCTGCAGTCCCTGCTCCCAGGCAGTGACTCCTGCGTGCCTCAGGTCCTGTGTGTGGAGGCCCTGGCGCTGGCTCAGCCTGTGCCTCTGGCTCGGTGGGTGGCATCCCTGCTGGGGTGGGAGATGGTCAAGCTGGGGCTCATGTACACAAAAGCCAGAGTGGGTGGATACTCTTTGTTAGGAGAGAGATTCAGCCAGGCACTGGGCAGCTACTCAGGATCCCTGACAGGGCCTGGTACATGACAGGACCCAAAAGAAGGACAGGGTAAGGCAGATAGGGCAGGTGTTCTCACCCAGGGACATCACTGTGCCATACTTCTCCAGCATTGCATCCCAATATAGCTCCTTCTGTGATGGGTCCAGTAGCCCCCATTCCTCCTGCAGGGATAAGCCAGTTACTGCTCACCTGGCCAGTATCATATCTTACCCACCACCTGGGAGCACCAGGCCACCTAAGCTTCATCTGTTGCAAGCAAAAGACCAAGACAAGATGGTGCTGTGAGTGTGGGGTTGGCCTTTAGATCATCTGGCTAACCTGTCAGTACTTGTAACCCTCAGCTGCCCCAGTGGTGGCCAAAGACTGAAACTGCAGGTGAGCTTTGGGGGAGGCCTAGAAGGGACATCATGGCTGGCCGCAACCCCTAAACATGGTGTGCTGGAGGGAAAGCAAGAGACTAGGGGACTCCTGGAGACCCAGTCACTTCCTGCCAAGCCTGTGGTTATTAAGTCTAAAAATTCTTCCTTCGGGGAGCCACCCAAGGTAGAGGACATTTCTGGATGTGGGGACCTGGCTGATGGGGAGGGGGGCAGAATGCGGGATCTTAGGACTGTGAGGGGGTAGAGAATGCTCAGGGCATCAGTGCTGGCTAGCTCCTGTGTGTTGATCTGGGCAAGGCCCTGAGAGGATGAGCTTGGTGGTATGGCAGGGGCCCACCTACAATGGCTTTACTGAGGAATGCATTCCCTGCCCAAAGGGCCTGCCCTCCTTGCTGCCCTGAGTCCCACAGTCTAGGGTTTTTCTGGGTTGGGAAATATAATTCTGAAGGACTAGCCAAAGTAAGTCTAGGGGCAGGGAGGGCAGCTACATGTAGCCACATATGAAAATGGTGCTGGCTAGAAGTGAGGATGCTACGGAGAGTCTTCTCACCCTTGAAGCATGTATCAACCAGTAATTCTGCTATGGAAGGGAGTTCCTGAGTAGAGGGGCTTAGAAGCAGAAGGGCAGGGAGAAAACAAAACCCCTACCACACACACTAGGAACTTCATGCTCAAAGAGACAGGGCTTTGAGCTTAAGCTTCTAGGCCCAGCAGCCTTTTGAGAAAATCTCTGGAGAGAAGGACTGTAAGCATGTCCCAGGAGTAGTGTCTTCCTCTGATCTCAGGTGTGGAGTCATTTGTCCCCACCTTTCTAGCACATACAAGTTCAAATCTCCAGGAGCTGGCCTAGAACCTCTGAGAGCCACAAACCTCCTCCACTGACTTCTCTGAAGGTACAGAAAGCCAAGCGTACCAATTCTAGCCACTATAAACCAAGTTTCCATGGCCTGAGACCAAATCTTTTCCAATGAGACCAACAGTCTGTTCCTCTGTCTCTGGGTCCCTTTGGGGGCACCCGGCTACTTACTTTATTACTGGGCAGCACAAGTAACAAAAAGCACAAGTCACTGGCCAAGGAGCCTAGAAAGCCACAGGACAGATGGCAGCCACCAGGGACACTCACCTCCCATGCTCAAGACCCACATTTCCTATCAGGGGCTGCTCACCTGAATCCTGGGTGGGTGGAAAGATGTGGAGGTTGGTTCCTGATGTTGAAGATGCCCCTCAGGGGACTCAGATGGAAGCAGGGGCCTGGAGGATGCTGAGAAGTGAGGCAGATAGGAAGGGATGTCAGTGCTACTGCTGCAGCCTTGGCCCACCTCTGCCATGTGGGCCCACCTCTGCCCATGTGACACGGTAGGCAGCCAGTCCTGTGCCCCTGCCTTCTAGGGATCCAATTCTGCAGTCCCTCCAAGGTCCCCATCCCAACTGGGGACATCTACTAATATGAGGAGGCTTAGCCCTGGCACAACCTCTCCTGGAACCTCTCTCCAGGGATGTGCATGCTCCCTCCACCAACCCTCAGCCTGGTGTGGCACCCCTCACCCATCTCCTGCCCATCAGCACTGGGCTCCTCCTTCACACTGCAGGTGAGCTGAGCAGACCCCTCCACTCTGGCATCCTGTTGACCCTCCCCAGGGGCTGAATTCAGGGGCTCGACTGTTTCTGAGAGGTGGGTGGGCCCTGAGGACTCCTCTGTCTTGTGGACTGAAGGAAGCACCTCTGGCTTCAGGATATGAGCTGTGATCTGGGGAGAAGAGGCAAGTCACTGGGGCTCTAGTTTCAGTCCACCTCTCTAAGAAGCTAATGCCACCAAACTCACCCAGCCCAGTAGCTGCCCAGGATCATGCTGCAGCCCCTCCACCAGAGATGCAGCTTCCTCAGGGCTGCCTGGTTGCTGCCCTCGCACCCACGCCTGGATCTCAGGGGGCAGTGCACCCAGGAACTGCTCTAGCACCAGCAGCTCCAGCATCTGTTCTTTAGAGCACAACTCAGGTCGCAGCCACTGGCGACACAGCTCTCGCAGCTGGACCAGGGCCTCTCGGGGCCCCGCTACTTCCTGGTAGCAGAACCCCCGGAATCTCAGCCGTGCAGCCTCAGGCTCCTCAAGGGTGCTCTCGGGGTCTCTGAAGGGCAGGTTTAGGGGACCAAGAGGAGATGGCATTCTTGTTTTGAAGGATCTTCTTGCAGCTGCCAAAATAGCCCTATAGAGAAGGGATCAGAGTATCATCCAAGAGGACCTAGCCAGGGGAATGCAGATACCAGGCCCAGACCAGGGGCCAAGACCAGGACAGAGAACACTGAGACCAGGAAAGCTTCATGGAGGAAGGTCATAAGAGCTGACCAGAATGGAACTGAGATCAGGAGAAAGTCTTGGGGACAAATGCCTAGATGTAAAGTGTCCAGGAAACTTCCTGGAAACTGCAAACAATTGGGTCTAACATTTGGGCACGATGCAGGATTGTTGGGAGATGATGGGACAGTGGCTTTTTCAGCATACAGAATGGGGCCAGGGGCCAGAGTGACTGGGATCCTTGAGGCTAGGAGAGGAAGCAAGCAGGAGGTAGGGCACGCTGGGCTGTGTTGGGAATGTGTCTGTCTCTAGGACATGTTGCTTGAAAAGCTGCCTCTAGGGATGGGACAAATCTAGACATTAGTGTAAAGCAAAGTTGAAGGATGGTACATTTAGGAGGGCTGATGTGGACTCCTAGACACTGTGCTTGGGGACCATAACTTACTAATGATGTTTCCAACAGCTTGGGCCCATGCATGTAAAACCCAAAAGCAAAAACCAAACAGAACTGAACCATGTGTGCATGGAGTCGAGGGCTGGAAACTGTCCCAACCCTGGCGAGGTACTAGACTGACACACGCCCACCTGGGAGGGGGGGTCTGTCCCCCAAAACAGGAAGAGAAAGAGGTCTTTCAGGAGGACAAGGCCCAGAGCTGGATACAGGGAACGGTGTTCTGGGTGGGAGGAAAGGCCTATGTGAAGGCCGGGGGACGCTCCAAGAGTGCCGGAAGCAGGGACCACACAGGTCCCGGGGGCGGTTGAACGCCCCACCCGGGTACAAGAAGCCTCGCCTACCCATCTAGGAACGCGCTCACCTGAGCCGTTGCCCGAGTGCCCGAGACTACTTCCGGGAAGTGGCGCTGCGCCTGCCCGGCAGCCCGCCACTTGCAGAACGTGTTGCTTCGGCGATGCTGCCCTGGCCAATCCCGGCGCCTGCCACGCAGGCACCGCCTCTTCCCCATCGGAATACATTTCCCATAAGCCTCAGCGAGGACAGGCCCGAATTTTCAGAGGCCTCTCGCGACTGAGGTGCTCTGTTCCTCTTGAGGAGTCTGAGGTACCGCAGAGTTTGGGGGCTCCTCCCCCTGTCTGGTAGCCCCACTTTGTTGCACCCAAGCCCCAGGACTCACCCATTACAGACCTTATGCTCCTGCGCATATGCACCACGGACCTGAACCTTACTGGCTGAGTATGATCTCCCGACCAATCAGAGCCAGCTTTCCGCCCGCTAATACTTGGAGAACATCAGCCCGCCTCTAGATGTTCCCATAGCAACGACAGGAGCGTCTCCCTGGAAGCCCCGCCCTCCCTCCCCCAGGCCAAAAGTGGCGGCGGCTCAGTGACCTGCTCCAGACCTCCCAGAAGGTGAGGTCCCACGGAGCACCTCTGAGCAGTTGTGTGGGGAGAGCTCGTCATCCCAGTTTAACAGTGGCCTCATCAGATTGTGATGTTGGGAGTGGGGGGATAAGGTCTTTTCTCTGGGACTATACAGATCGTCTGTAAAGAACTTTTACTACCCACCGGTGGGGAGAACACTGGGGCTTTAATGGCTTCTCAGAGAGCTCACCTAGACCAGCTGAGTTGCTGGTTCCCAAGCCTTCTGCTGTGCTGCAGGTAAGCCTGGTTGGACCGCTCCCCACTTTCCCCATTGTCGACTTAGTATTTGGTTTTTTCCATACCAGTGACAGCCCTCCCATTCACTTTTAGCTGTAGAATGCCAGTGCTGTTCAGACTTTTTCCCATTCTCTTGCTTGTGAATTTGTTTCAAACACTTCCTTCAGTGTGGTGTCAGTGGATTTGAATTTTATTTATTTATTGCAGTACTGGAGTTTGAACTCAGGGCTTCACGCTTGCTAGGGAGGTTCTCTACCACTTGAGTCACTCTGCCAGCTCTGGTCCAATCTTTTGACCTAGGAAGCCCAGGAACATTTTTACAGTTGCTACTTGTTCAGAATTTAAGAGGCACCAAGATATGGGAAGAGGTGAGAGTTCAGAAAAGTACTGGAAAAGGTAGATAGAGTCAAGGGGAGTGGAGCACAAGAGCACAAGCTCAGTGTGAAGAGCCTGGTGGTAAGACAAGATAAGTTACTGAAAGAAGCCTGAAGGGCCAGGAGGCTCAGGAAAGGTTTCATGTGACTCAGTACTTCAACAGATGCCTTTGGTCCTGAATCCCATAGACTCCCCAGAACAGTCCCCTGTGGTAGGGTGGAGGTTTGCCTGCATTTCATAGTTCTGTAGACTAAGTCTGTCTAGAAGGGGTGGACAATGGTCCTGGGGTCAATAGGACATCAGGAGGCCCATTTTGGAAGGACTGCCTTTACAGAATCTTGGGGAGTTGGGCCCTGCATGCCACCCCTCCTTGTAGGAACTTATGAGGTTTGTGGGGCAGAAGATGGGTCTGGTCCCACAAGTGGGTGAGTGGGACAGCAATGCCTATGCTGAGTGTAGGGCTGCAAGGTCTTCAAGGTGATGGGACTGGAACACACTCTGGGCTGGTGTCAACCTTGCCAGGTCACTACACTTGGCCACACCCACTCTGCCTCAACAGCAGATAGCATAACAGCCCAGCCTTGGTTTCTTCACCCACCTCCCTCCCATAACCTGGGGTGGGGGGAGGAGGCAAGCCCTACCCTGCCCAGGTCTCCCCCACTCACCTATAGCCATCAAGGGGCTACAGACAGCTGCATATCTAGTGTGGTGTCTCCAGGAGACCCAGGTTGAAGTCAAATCCCTGGATCTCTGTGATGACATTCCAGTGGCATGTCTACATATGTCCATTTATAAATTTAATATTTTCTGCATTGTATTCGGGTGAAACCACCATCAGCCTGTTATTGTTCACACAGATGTTTAAAAAGAAACCTTTGTCAGGAAGGATCTTTGAATTTGTTAAAACCTGAACCATGCCCTGGAGTGGAGAGAACAGGCTGAGGCTGTGGCTGTGGACTTCACACTCCTGGGCAAGAAATAACAATTTAAATCCATTCTGAGTTGTAAATGCTAGTTTTTGTTCTCCCCCTCCCCCCCCTCCATAAAAAGACCATTAACTTCCTTGTTAGTATGGCCCCAGGTGAGGCTAGAATCTGGTCTGCTGAAGTCACAGGAAGCAAACTGGGCCCCACCCCACATCTGTCCCCACTGTTCACGGGCATTATGCTGGGCAGGGTAGTCTCTGAAGGCTGCCACACACAGTTTCAGGCAATACCAAATCCTCTTGGTTTTTTGTCCACCTTCCAACCAAGGTGGGAGAACAAACAGATGGGCACATGGCCACCAAACCCAGCAAAAATAAGCAGCCCCACTTTGCTTCCTCTGAAGTTATCATTACTTCTTCAGATATAAAGGTTCCTCATACATTGGGTTTGCTAAAAGAGCTGGTGCCAGGGACTGGATGAGATGTGAATGAGTGCTGGGCAACCAGCATCCTCGATCTGTCTTCCAATGCTGAAAGCCACATATTCTGGCATGGGCCTCCACCTCTGGAAGTCTGCTATGCTAGTGAGCCAGGCCAGGCCTTCACACTTGGTAGACTAGAATGAGGGGGTTGTGGGATGAGGCATGTGGATGTTGGGTAGGTTCCACCTGAGTTCTAGTTCCAGCTTTGCTGTATGACATGGGCGACTCACTTCTCCCTGTGCCTTAATTTGTTCATCTTTGAGGTGGGGATACCAGCACAGGACTCAAGAGAGCTGGTAGAACTTTCTTAGCACCTACAACAGGGGATGGCAGTGAAAATATCCTGGACTTTATTAGGACCCTGCCAGGCAGGGTGTCTGTTAACAAACACCACCCTCCAAGGGCCCAAATCTTTTTCTTTTTTCTATTTCCCAGAGGAGGAAGCTGAGGCTCAGAGCCCAATCACTTGCCAAAGGCCAGGACAAGGAAGCCCTGGATAAACAGAGACCTGAGGGATGTATTCTGAACTGCATTTGTATTCAGGCAGATTCCTCTAGGATATTCCCACCCCATTCCTACACTTCCTCCTCACCTTCGTTTCACAGTCATGAAATACTGAAGTGGCATCACCATACAAGGCTCTTTGTTGGTCTCCCACTGGCTCTGCGCATAGTATAGGCCCTACCAAAATCCCAGCACCAAGTCTGTATCCCTGATGTCTCTGCGGTATGGCCTCTTGGAGGATGGAGATGTGAGCTGTGGCCAAAGTGGAAGGAACCGAAGCCAAAGAGTCTCCCTCATGTCTGGCTTGAATACACAAGGCTTCTCTCCACTGTGGATCTGCAAAGGAAATGGACTTTGTAGCTGTGGAAGGAATTCACAGAACACTGAGAAAGGCCAGAGCTGCCGCCTCAGGCCTTAGTTGGCTTTGGGGCTGCCTTTAGGACTGTGGCTGGGCCTGTGGCAGAAGTTATCTTGTCATCCTTCCCGGAAGCACCTTCTGATGATTCCCCCGGAGGCCTGGCTGGTGGGCAGGAGACAGCCCTGGGCCGCCGCATGGCCTTCTCACCAGTGTGGATCCTTTGGTGGTGGAAGAGCGCAGGGCGCTCGCGGAAGGCACGGCCACAGTGAGTGCACACAAAAGGCTTCTCGCCCGTGTGGATGCGCTGGTGACTGAGCAACACTGCGCCCTTGGCGAAGGCCTTGCCACAGTCTCCGCAGCGGAAGGGCCGCTCACCCGTGTGCAGCAGCTGATGCTGCGTGAGGTTGGAGCTGTGGCTGAAGGCGCGGCCGCACTGTGGGCAGGAGAAGGGTTTCTCACCGGTGTGCACGCGCTGGTGCTTAAAGAGCGAGGAGCCCTGGCTGAAGGCCGCGCCGCAGAGAGCACAGGCATAGGGCTTCTCGCCCGTGTGTGTGCGCTCATGCTGGATCAGGTGCGAGTTGCGGCAGAAGCGCCGGCCACACTGCGCACAGGCGTAGGGCCGCCCGCCCGCGTGGATCTTGCGGTGCTGGCTGAGATTGGAGCCATGACTGAAAGCCTTGCCGCACTCACCGCAGTGGAAGGACTTCTCGGCCGTGTGGATGCGCTGGTGCCGCACCAGGGAGGAGCTATGGCGGAAGGCCTTGCCGCAAGCCGAGCAGGCGTAGGGCGTCTCGCCGCTGTGGATGCGCTGGTGCTGTGTCAGGTGCGATGTCTGGCTGAAGGCCTTGCCGCACTGCGCACACTCATAGGGCCGCTCCCCAGTGTGGGTGCGCAGGTGCTTGAGGAGATCGGAGCTCTTCACAAACACTTTGCTGCACGCCCTACATTCGAAGGGCTTTTCCCCTGGGAGAAGGCTGGGGCCAGTGTGGAGGGCCTCACCCAGCTCGTCCCAGGTCTGGGGCTCCTGGGCGCCGGGGAGTCTCTGAGACTCGGACCAAACTGCACCCACTCGGTGTTCTCCCCGAGCGCGAATGACTCCGAGGTCCAGGATGCTCGGGAAGGCTCTCCTGGAGGAGGCTTGCTGCTCGCATGGCTTCTGCCGCTGGGCTGCCCGCAGCTGCTTCCCCGGCGCCAGCTGCTTCCCCGGCGCCGGGCGGCCTGTGAGGGCCTTCCCCTTGGATGGGCCGCCCTCGGGAGCCTCCAGGGGGGAGGTCAGTCTCAGGCTGACACTGGCCTCCGCACTCCCCGAGACTGGCAGGAGCTGTTCCCAGTAGATCACCGATACCCCGGTGGGTTTTCTCTCCTGAGATGGGGAGGTACCCTGTTGTTCCTCCAGGCTCTTTGTACCAGTAGCAGGGAGGACAGTAGTAGACATCCCACCGAGGTTATTCAGGACAGCCTGGAGCAGGGCTGCTTCTCCAGAAACATTTCTGCCTTCTTCCAGACAATGGGAACCTGAAGGCAAGGAAAGACAGAACAGTGGTTTCCTGGGTCATCTGGCCAGGGGGTGACCAGAGTAGCCTGCATGGGCAGGCAGGGGAGACCTAGGAGTTGGGTATAGAAGCATAGGGAAAAAAGCAAAGGACCAGGCTGGTCCTGCAAGAAGGGAGTGGGATGCATCTGCCCTCTCCATCTAGGACCCCATGGTCAAGACTCCAGACCTCAGACACCTATAATGTACCATGCAGAAAACTGAGCCACTCACTGCACACCGCCCAGGCCTCTGCGCTGGCTGTCCCCCAGACACACTTCCCAGGGCCTATTCTCCTTCCCCACAGTACTCGCTCCCCAGCCCACTTTTCTCCTTGCGCTGGTCTCCAACTCAGGCTACAGACTGAGTTACTGATTGCTTCTTTCCTGACATCAGCTCCAAAGCAAGACATGAGTATCCTGGCTGATGCTGTGTCCCCAGTGCCAAGGACTGCCTGGCCATGGCAAATGTTCAGTCAACACTTGAACACATGAATGAAGGGAGAAGGAATGACCCCACAAATGTGGCAACTAGATGTGGAGGAGGAAGCCACACAGCCCAGCTGAGGGAGGGCCTCTGAACAAGTCTCACCACTGCCTGGTGGTGACTTCTTGTGTGAACCCAGCTCCTGTTCTCTTGGAGCTCTCCCTTCAAGGGAAGTCTGGGACACAGCTTTCAGTAGGAAGTCAGGTGGGAAGCAGGAGACAAGGGTACTGTATGTCTATGGGGCCAGGAAGTGGAGACAGGGTTGATCCAGGTTAACCCTGAGTTCACCCCAGGTGGAGTCTGACTCACCAAGGCTGGGCTTCATGTGGGTGCTCCTGCCCAGGGTTGTGTCCATCCCACTGGGAATCCAGGGTTCCTCACCACGCTGGAGTTGGACAACAACACGGGGTCGGGAGGTAGAGAGTCCTGGGAGGGAGGAGATCAGGTGAGAAGGCAGCCCCAGGTGCAGTTAGCCTACCTATCAACAGATGGCAGGAGATGGGGCTTCATGGGAATAGACAGTGCTATTTCTAAAAACAAGAAAACCCAAAAGTCACAACACAAAAGAGAATCTCAGGGGCAGCTCAAGGGTCCCCATTAGAAACTCCTCGGTCAGCAGCACCAAAGGAAGGGTCATGGGCCCAGGCACAGAAGAACACAGAAAGATAGCACCACAGGGACACAAGAAATGGTTAAGCCAACCAGACTGCATGTCTTCAAGGCTTTGACCCCCATCTCACATAGTCCCTATCCAAAAGGTCCTGCTCATGGGTAGCTAGGGAGGAGAGGGGGCAGTCCTAATGGCCTAGTCCAGCACCAAGTTCACTTCCCATGGAGGACCCAGGGCTCTACCCATTGAGGCCACAAGTGCAAAGTTCTCCAACATCACACGGCGGTAAAGGGCTCTCTGAGCAGCATCCAGGAGCATCCACTCCTCCTGGGAGAAGTACACAGCCACGTCCTCGAAGGTCATCAGGCCCTACAATAAGCAGGCAGAAGGAGATAGACAGTTTAAGGTATGGCTGTGTGGACTGGAAGTATGGCTTAAGTGGAAGAGTACCTGCTTTGCAAATGCAAATCCCTGAGTTCGAACCCCAGTCCCACCAAAAAAAAAAAGAAAAAAGAGAGGGGCAAGAAGAAAGTTTTAATTTTCGGGTGGGTGCTGGTGGCTCATGCCTATAATCCTAGCTACTCAGGAGGCAGAGATCAGGAGGATTGTGGTTCGAAGCCAGCCTAGGCAAATAGTAAGACCCTATCTAGAAAAAAACCTTCACAGAGAAGGGATGGTGGAGTGGCTCAATGTGTAGGCCCTGAGTTCAAGCCCCAGTACCACACACAAAAAAAAGGTATAGCTGTGTGACCCAGTACAAATTCCCTGTCCTAATGGCCACCTCCCCAACTATGCCTCTTGAATACCCATCCTCCTTCCCCAGTTCTACATCAGACCTATCTTCAAATGGCACTTCCTTCACCTGTCTGATTCTACCTGTCTATCTTCTTGCCCAGGCCACAGAAGGTCACTCAGCCTCTCCACTGCCCACTCTACACAAACAAATGAGAACAATGCTTAGGGCCCTTAGCTGGCTGCCACACCAAGGGCAGTCCCAGGCATGTATTCATTCCCCAGCATGACCAAATGTGCCCTTCTTATACCTGTAAGAAGCAATTGTATAAGCCCCAGCTTCAGAGCCCAAAGTCATGTTCATCTATAAGATCTTTCTCTGTTGCACATGCCTGACTTTTAAGGCTGGTCCTCCCTACAGGAATTGGATGATCCCCACCAGCTGGCCCCAAGGACTGGTGGACACACAGGAAGTCAGTCCCTTCCTCCCTCCACAGTATTGCTCCCTCTACTTCCTTTCCACTCTACTGCCACTCCCCTGAACCTCCACCACCTGCCAGACTCTTCCCCTCACAGCCCCAGGCATCCCCAGACACTTCCTTGTTCTCAGGTCCTAACTGACCATCTCTGGTTGAGTCCATGAGATCTTCCCTTCTGCAGCCCAATTTCTAGGCCCTGCTTTGGCCCAAGACACCAGGACCCTGTCCAATAGACACAACTTCAGATCCACCAAACCTTCCACTTTGGGACATCACAGACTCCTGATCTTCCTCTGAAAGAAACCTCCTTTTCATTCCAATTATCATTTGTCTATGACAGCGCCATCCTCCCGGGCACTCATGACAGTTCTTTATGTATCACACTCTTTCTTAACCCACACCTGAAGAATCAGCAGATCTACCTATGATTCAACCACTTTCCCACTATCACTGCCCATCTAGGCTAGGGCCCATCACTGCTCACCTGGATTGTGGCAGTAGCCACTTCCCTTCATACAGAGACCCCACTCTATGTGTGTTCTCCACTCAGGAAGAAGTAGGCTTTAGAAATCCTAACTGAAAGGGCTGGGCATGGTGGTATACACCTGCAATCTCAGATACTGGGGGGGTGGAGATAGGGAGGATCATGGTCCCAGGCCATCCTAGGCAAAAAGTTATGGTGATCCCATCTTGACAAACAAGCTGGGCATGGTGGTTCTCACCTCTAATCCCAGTTACTGGGACACATAGGTAGATGGATCGCAATCCAAGACTGGCCCAGTCAAAAACTCAAACCCTACCTAAAACCAAAAAGGGCTGGAGATGTGGCTCAAGTGTAGAAAGTTTCCCTAGCAAAACGAGAGGCCCTGAGTTCAAGCTAAAAAAAAAGTCCTAAATGGGAGGATATCCAGACTGTGGTTCAAGTCTCCTATGGCTCCCAACGCCCTGGGGACAAAGTCCCAACTCCTCTACCTGCCATTTCAGGCACACAAGACTCCTCTCCGGGGGACGCTCCACATTTTGAACACTCGTTCCAGAATAATCAAGGTTCAGTCTCCCCTCCCAGCCTTGGCACCCTTCCCTAGGAACTTCCTTCTAGACCTCGTCCCTTTGGCTGCCAGAAGTAGGGACCCCATAGGTGCAAGCCTCACTGACCGGTATTGAGGGTTTTGGGACCAACCGCCTTTCCCACCCGGCCTGGGCAGCCAGACTAGACAGATCGTTAAGACTCGGGTCCATGGGAGAGGTCGCTCTTACTTACCCGCGCCCCCGCCGCCGCCATCTGAACCTGCAGCTGGGGCGAGCCAAAGCGGGTGGGCGGGAGACCCCGGCTCCGAAGGTCCCTGCCCGCAGCCTCGCGCGGCCCGCCCTTGCCTCAGTCTCCCCGTAGGCAAAAGGCGCAGAAGGCCCAGGGGACCGCTGTGGGACTGCAGCGGGGGCTAGAGAACACGTGGCTCCGGGCGCAGCCTGAGTGCCCCACCCCGGCGCCCTTGCGTGGCTAGGGGAAACCGAGGCTCGGGGGCGGAGCTACCCGCCCGCCGTCCCGTTGCGCAGGCGTGGCACGAAGCGGGTCCTCCGATAGTATCTTCCTCACAGACCTCGGCTTGGGTCTCCAGAACCTCCGGAAAAGCCCAGCCTAGCCCCTCACGCCCCGGCCAGGATCACCGGTGTGGCCCGACGCCCGGCAGCAAAGTGACAGTCCCGAACGCAGGAAGTCCCGCCCTCGAGCCTTCATTTGCCCAATGCACGCTGGGGCGAATGCGCAGAGCCCTCTGGGTGGTGTAGTTTCTGCCTGCCTTCCGGTATCCATGGCAACGGCCAAGCATTGGAGCGTGAGGTAATAGAAAATGATCCTGGAGACTGCACCCAGGTTTCCTCCAGCCCTCCACCGAAGTGGGGTTTCGCGACTGGGCCTTCGCGCGGGGTCCCGAGTCCCCCGCTCCCACCCAAGCGGCCCAGAGCTAGACCCTGGAGTTACCGAAGTGGAAACTTCCGAGGTTTCAGGACATCAGCGAGAAGCACAAAGGAGAACACAGCCGACACAGCAGCCCAGAGAGCGTGGTACAAATCCCAGCTCTGCCTCTTTTCTGCTGTGTGCTGTGGGCGGGCGAGGGTTTGACTGCTGTGCTTCAGAGTCCTGTAAAGTGTCAACACCAGGAATTGCAAGCCCCTAGCCTAGATTTTTCTTGAGTTTGGGAATTGTTTAAAGACACTTGCCCAAACTTCCCGCTTTCCTTGTAAGCTTACATTGGGCAGAAAGTTCTTTCCCAATCTTTCTTGTCCTTATGATGCACGGACGACACTCGCAGGAATTTCAGGTGCTCAGGGTTCTTGAGCCTGCTCTGAGAATGAAAGCACAGACAGACTCTAACAGCAGAGGTCGGAAAGATGTTATCTGTAGAGAATTTAGTTGGAGAAAAGAGAAGAGAAAGACTGAATATTGGGGAATGTAGGGGGACCCGGAAACTGGTGATCCCGTGGGCCAGGGTGGAGAGTGGGTTTTATAGCCTATTTTTGCATTGCCTGAGGGCGGAGATGCCTTTCAGACGCAAACAGGTGTTTCCTAAGGAGGAGAAGTGTCTCATTGACATCCTGCGGTCTGTCCTTCACTTAGGCTATCTAGTTCTTGCCTTGCTCCACTTGTCACAATATTGATTCTTTGTTCCTTTTCTCTCTAGACCAATCTAAGTGACTGGTACATGTGAAATCAGAAGGCAGAGCAGTCTCAATGCAGACTCATCCTATTATTGGTAAAGAATAAAAGGTTTTCTCTCTGTTGTTCCATAGTGAGACTCATGTTTTTAGGATCTTTAGACAGTTCTCATTGTGTCCACTTCTTTTTCTTTCTTTCATTCTTTTTTTTTAGTGGCACTGGGGTTTGAACTCAGGGCATCACACATTACTAGGCAGGGATCTTACAGCTTAGCCACTCCACCAGCCCTTTTTTTTGTAAGAGGTTTTTTCAAGACAGGGTCTTTTGAATTATTTGCCCCGGGCTGGCTTTGAACCACAATCCTCCTGATCTCTGCCTCTTGAGAAGGTAGGATTACAGGTGTGAGCCACCGGTGCCCAGCCTTTAAACTATTGGGTTTTTTTTTTTTTTTTGGTGGTACTGGGGTTTGAACTCAGTGCCTTCACCAGATGTGAGCCACGCCTGGCTAAACTATTTTTAGTAAGCCTTTAGGCTATTTTAAATTATCATTCCAATGTGTAATTATTTAGGAGAATGTTTAGAAATTCTAATCATTGAAATGCTAATTATTTAATGATTTAATAATTTTTTTTGTGGTACTGGGGCTTGAACTCAGGGCCTACAACTTAAGCCACTCCACCAGCCCTTTTGTGTGTGTGTGTGTGTGTGTGTGTGTTAGGTATTTTCAAGAAGGGTCTCATAAACTATTTGCCCAGATTGGCTTGAAACCGAGATTCTCCTGATCTCTGCCTTCTGAGTAGTGATTGCTACAGGCGTGAGCCACCAGCGCCCAGCTAATGACTCAATGATTTAATGAATTAAGCTTGAAACAAAAAAAATACCAGCAAGTCTGCACACACAATAGCTTCTTCTCCCTGCCTCATATTCCCATGTTGCCCAGGACTGTACTAGGGACATCACCCGGGGCTGGTAGTTGCATCCTAACAAACCTGATTGGACCTCTTATAAAGCGCCCATGTTCTCATCTATAAAACACAGGTAGTCACAAACATTTGCACAATGCTGAATCATGCCAGATATTGCTCTATGTCCTTTATCTATCATTGAGGAAACCATGTCATTGCCATACCTATTTTATTATCAGGGAAACTGAGCCACATGTCCCAGAGTTCAGAGATGATTATCAGCCCAGGTGAAATATGAAGCCACACAGTGTATGCCTTTGACTACTTCACCATCTTCAAGACTTAACCTAAAAGTCAGCTTTTTTTTTTTTTTAATTTAAGCAGGGTCTCTTAAGAATCCCAAGCTGGCCTGGAACTCAAGATCCTCCTGCCTCAGCTTCTTAGTGCTGGGATTACAGCCATATATCACCACATCCTGCTTGCAAGTCAGCTTTAAACAAATGAAAAGTTATGTGCAAATCACCACAACTAGGATTTACTAAACTCTCAATTCAAGTTAGCTATTATTTCAGTACTGTCCTGGCTGTTAAGACAGTTATGATTGAAGGACAAGTAAGGACTTCCTGGTGTCACAGGTAGGGGAAAGTGTCTTAGCACAGGAGAGTGCACCAGAAGCTGGATAGCATGGGTCTTTAGGGTGGAAGAAAGGTTAGGGTCGGTCAAGAGGCTCCAGGAGTTTATGGGTGAGCATGGGTAGGAGAGTGAGAGGAGGATGAGCCAGAGCATGGGGAAACTTAAAGAGTTTGGATTTCTTCCTAGGGCCAGGAGGAATCAGGAAATCAGGACTTAACCTCCTTAATGTAAGGAGGGCAGGGCAGGTCATTAAACGAGGCCCCTGACAACTGATCAGGATTTGGTTGGGACAATTGCCCAACCAGACTGATCTTCATGGTCGCTACTGCTGTTATAGACCAGCTCAGGCCATAACCACTGTGAAATCATCCAACTTCTAGATAGTGCCTATGGATTGGTCCTTTAAAAAACATTTGGGGAGGGATGTTGACACAGGGCCTCACTATGTAGCCCAGGTTGGTCTGAAACTATGTAGCTCAGGCTGGCCACAAACTCACAATCTTCCTGCCTCAGCCTCCTGAGTGCTGAAATTACAGCTGTGCATTGCTACTCCTGGCTGGTCCTTTTAATTTTTTAACATTTTTTTGGTGGGACTGGGGTTTGAACTAAGGGCTACATGCTTGCAAAACAGGCACTCTACCCCATGAGCTACTCTTCTAGCTCTGTTTTGTGTTGCTTATTTTCTATTTTTTTTTTTGGCAGTACTGGAGTTTGAACTCATGTCCTCATACTTGCTAGGCAGGTGCTCTACCACTTGAGCCACTCTACCAGCCCTATATTTTTGATGGGTTTTTTTTTTTTTGAGATAAGGTCTCTCAAACTATTTGCCCAGGGCTGGCTTCAAATCACGACCCTCCTAATCTCTGCCTCCTAAATAGCTAGGATTACAGGTGTAAACCACCAGTGCCTGGCTTACATTTATTTTTAACAAGAATTTTGGGGATGTCTTGACCCTGTCCAACACCTCTATCTGGAGCTGGACTCTGCAATTCCTTGCTGGAGATGAGGCTAGCCAGGTCCTGACTGTAAAGAACATCTCAGCTCAGAAAGGAAAAGATAAATTTCTTCAGGAATAAATACAAAATTCACGTTCAAGGAACTGATCTTCCTGACCCAATTGCTACATTTCAGCAACTTGACCGGGAATATAAAATTAATTCTCGACTGCTTCAGAACATTCTAGACTCGGGCTTCCAAATGCCTACACCAATCCAAATGCAAGCCATTCCAGTTATGCTGCATGGTCGGGAACTTTTGGCTTCTGCTCCTACAGGATCTGGGAAAACTTTAGCTTTTAGCATTCCCATTTTAATGCAGCTGAAACAACCCACAAATAAAGGTTTCAGAGCCTTGATTATATCTCCAACATGAGAACTTGCCAACCAGATTCACCGAGAGTTAATTAAAATCTCCAAGGGAACAGGATTCAGGATACACATGATCAACAAAGCAGCAGTGGCATTCAAGAAATTCAGATCTAAGTCATCTAAGAAGTTTGATATTCTTGTGACTACTCCAAATCGACTGATCTATTTATTAAAGCAAGATCCACCAGGGATAGACCTAACAAGTGTTGAGTGGCTGGTAGTAGACGAATCAGACAAACTATTTGAGGATGGCAAAACTGGGTTTAGAGACCAGCTGGCTTCCATTTTCCTGGCCTGCACATCCCACAAGATCAGAAGAGCTATGTTCAGTGCAACTTTTGCATATGATGTTGAGCAGTGGTGCAAACTCAACCTAGACAATGTCATCACTGTATCCATTGGAGCAAGAAATTCTGCAGTAGAGACTGTAGAACAAGAGCTTCTTTTTGTCGGGTCTGAGACTGGAAAACTTCTGGCCATGAGAGAACTTGTTAAAAAGGGTTTCAATCCACCTGTTCTTGTTTTTGTTCAGTCCATTGAAAGGGCTAAAGAACTTTTTCATGAGCTTATATATGAAGGTATTAATGTAGATGTTATTCATGCGGAAAGAACACAGCAACAGAGAGATAATACAGTCCATAGCTTCAGAGCAGGAAAAATTTGGGTTCTTATTTGTACAGCCTTGCTTGCAAGAGGCATTGATTTTAAAGGTGTGAACTTGGTGATTAATTACGACTTTCCAACCAGCTCAGTGGAATATATCCACAGAATAAGTCGAACTGGAAGAGCAGGGCATAAAGGAAAAGCTGTTACATTTTTTACTGAAGATGATAAACCATTATTAAGAAGTGTTGCCAATGTCATACAGCAGGCTGGATGTCCTGTACCTGAATACATAAAAGGTTTCCAGAAATTGCTAAGCAAACAAAAGAAAAAAATGATTAAGAAACCACTGGAAAGGGAGAGTATTAGTACAACTCCAAAATATTTCTTAGAGCAAGCTAAAGCTAAGCAGAAAAAGGCCACTGGCCAGAGCAGCAAGAAGAAGGTAACCCTTGAAGGCAAAAGTTAAAAACAAATTTTAAAAAAAGAAAATGTAATTT